AAACAGGCATCAAACCCGAAGGCCGGCTTAACACGAAGTTGAGAAAAACATATGACCTCGCCGTCAAGCATCAGTTAAAGAAACATGCATAAAATCCAAAGGCCGACTCAACCCGAAGTTGAAAAGAACATCTGACCTCGCCGTCGGGCATCGAAACCGAAGGCCGACTCAACCCGAAGTTGAAAAGAACATCTGACCTCGCTGTCAGGCATCTGTTAAACAAACAGGCATGGAACCCGAATTTCGGCTCAACACGAAGTTGAGAGGAACATCTGACCTTGCTGTGAGGCATCTGTTAAACAAACACGCATAGAACCCGAAGGGCGGCTAAAATTCGAAGTTGATAAGAACATCTAACCTCGCTGTCAGGAATCTGTTAAAGAAATAGGCATCAAACCCGAAGGCGTGCTCAACACGAAGTTGACAGGAACATTTGACCTTTCCGTCATGTATCTATTAAACAGACAAGCATTGAAACCGAAGGGCGGCTCAATCCGAAGTTGAGAAGAACATCTGACCTTGGTGTCAGGCATCTGTTAAACAAACAGGCATCGAACTTGATGGACGGCTCACCCCGAAGTTGAGAAGAACAGCTGACCTCACCGTCAGGCATCTGTTAAACAAACTTGCATCTAACCCAAAGGTCGGCTCAACTTGAAGTTGGGAGGAACATCTGACCTTGCTGTCAAGCATCTGTTAAATAAACAGGCATCAAACCTGATGGACGACTCAACCCGAAGTTGAGAAGAACATCTGACCTCGCTGTCAGGCATCTGATAAACAAACAGGCATCGAACCCGAAGGTCGTCTCAGCCTTTAGTTGAGAAGAACATCTGACCTCACCGTCAAACAGGCATCGATCCCGAAGACAGGCTCAACATGAAGTTGAGAGGAATATCTGACCTCGCCGTCAGGCATCTGCTAAAAACACAAGCATCCAAACTGAAGGCTGGCTCAACAACTTACCTCGCCTTCAGGTATCTGTTAAAAAAACAGGCATCGAACCTGAAGGTCGGCTCAACACGAAGTTGAGAAGTACATCTGACCTTGCTGTCAGGCATTTGTTAAAAAAACAAACATCGAACCCGAAGGCCGGCTTAACACGAAGTTGAGAAGAACATCTGACCTCGCCATCAGGCAACTGTTAAACAAACAGGCATCGAACCCGAAGGCCGGAATAACACGAAGTTGAGAGGAACATTTGACTTTGCCGTCAGGCATCTGTTAAACAAACAGGCATCGAACCCGAAATTCGGATCAACACGAAGTTGAGAGAAACATCTGACCTCGCCCTCAGGTATCTGTTAAACAAACAGGAATTGAATCCGAAGGCCAACTCAACCCGAAGTTTATAAGAACATTACACCTCGCCGTCAGGCATCTGTTAAATAAACAGGCATCGAACCCGAAGGCCGGTCAATCGGAATTTCAGAGGAACATTTGACCTTGCCGTGAGGTATCTATTAAAAAGACAGGCATTGAAAACGAAGGGCGACTCAACACGAAGTTGAGAAGAACATCTAACCTTGGTGTCAGGCATTTGTTAAACAAACAGGCATCGAACCCGAAGGTCGGCTCAACACGAACTTGAGAGGAACAGTTGACCTCGCCGTGAGGCATCTGTTAAACAAACAGGCATCAAAACCGAAAGGCGGCTCAACCCGAAGTTGACAATAACATTAGACCTCGTCGTCAGGCATCTGTTAAAAAAATAGGCATCAACCCCGAAGGCCGGCTCAACATGAAGATGAGAGGAACATTTAACCTCGCCGTCATGCATCTGTTACAGAAACAGGCATCGATTCCGAAGGCCGGCTCATGCGAAAGTTGAGAAGAATATCTGACTTCACCGTCAAGTATTTGTTAAACAAACAGGTATTGAACCCGAATGGCGGCTCAACCCTAAATTGAGAAGAACATTTGGCCTCGCTGCCAGGCATCTGTTAAACAAACAGGCATCGAACCCGAAGGCTGGCTCAACACCGAAGTTGAGAAGAACATCTGAACTCGTCGTCATGCATCTGTTAAACAAACAGGCATCGAACCCGAAGGCCGGCTCAACACGAAGTTAAGAAGAACATATGACCTCGCTGTCAAGCATCTGTTAAAAAACAGGCATCAAATTCAAAGGCCGGCTCAACCCGAAGTTGAGAAGAACATCTGACCTTGCTGCCAGGCATCCGTTAAACAAACAGGCATCGAACCCAATGGCCGGATCAACCCGAAGTTGAAAAGAACATCTGACCTTCCTGTCAGGCATCTATTAAACAAACAGGCATCGAACCCAAATGCTGGCTCAACACGAAGTTGAGAGGAACATCTGACCTTGCTGTGAAGCATCTGTTAAACAAACAGGCATCGAACCCGAAGGGCGGTTAAATTTGAAGTTGATAATAACATCTGACCTCGCCGTCAAGCATTTGTTAAACAAATAGGCATCGAACCCGAAGGTCGGCTCAACACGAAGTTGAGAGGAACATTTGACCTTGCCGCCATGCATCTGTTAAACAGACAGGCATTGAAACCGAAGGGCAGCTCAATCCAAAGTTGAGAAGAACATCTGACCTCGGTGTCAAGTATCTGTAAAACAAACAGGCATTGAACCCGAAGGCCGGCTCAACCCAAAGTTTAGAAGAACATCTGATGTCGCCGTCGAGCATCAGTTAAACAAACAGGCATCGAACCCAAAGGCTGGCTCAACTTGAAGTTGAAAGGAACATCTGACCTTGCCATCAGGCATCTGTTAAACAAACATGCATCGAACGTGAAGGCCGACACAACACAAAGTTGAGAGGAACATCTACCTTCACCGTCAAGCATCTGCTAAACAAACAGGCATCGAACCTGAAGGACGGCCTAACCCGAAGTTGAGAAGAACATCTGACCTCGCCGTCAGGCATCTTCTATACAAACACGCATCGAATTTGAAGGTCGGCTCAACCCGAAGATGAGGAGAACATCTGACCTCGCTGTCAGGCATCAGTTAAACAAACAGGCATCGAACCCTAAGGCCGGCTCAACACGAAGTTGAGAGGAACATCTGACCTTGCTGCCAGGCATTTGTTAAAAAAACACGCATCGAACCTGAAGGACGGCTCAATCTGAAGTTAAGAGGACCATTTGACCTCGCCGTCAGGCATCTGTTAAAAAAACCGGCATCAAACCCGAATGCCGGCTCTACCCGAAGTTGAGAAGAACATCTGACCTCGCAGTCAGGTATCTGTTAAAGAAACAGGCATCGAACCCGAAGGTCGTCTGAACCCTTAGTTGAGAAGAACATCTGACCTCGCCGTCAAGCATCTGTTCAATAAACAGGCATCGAACCCGAGGGCTGGCTCAACACGAAGTTTAGAGGAAACTTTGACCTCGCCGTCAGGCATCTGTTAAACAAACAGGCATCGAACCCGAAGGCCAGCTCATCACGAAGTTATGAAAAAGATATGACCTTGCCATCAAGCATCTGTTAAAGAAACAGGCATCAAATCCAAAGGCCGACTCAACCCGAAGTTGAGAAGAACATCTGATCTCGCCGTCAGGCATCCGTTAAACAAACAGGCATCGAACCCGAAGGTCGGCTCAACGCAATGTTGAGAAATACATCTGACTTCACTGTAAGGCAACTGTTAAAGAAACAGGCATCGAACCCAGAGGCCGGCCCAACAGAAGTTGAGAAGAACATCTGACCTTGCTGTGAGGCATCTGTTAAACAAAAAAGGCATTGAACCAGAAGGTCGGCTCAACACAAAGTTGAGAAGTACATCTAACCTTGCCGTTAGGAATGTGTTAAACAAACATGCATCAAACCCGGAGGCCGGCTCAACACGATGTTGAGAAGAAGATATGACATTATTGTCACGCATTTGTTAAACAAATAGGCATCGATCCCGAAGGCCGGCTCAACACGAAGTTGAGAGGAATATCTGACCTCACCATCAGGCATCTGTTAAACAAACAGGCATCGATCCCGATGGCTGGTTAACCACGAAGTTAAGAGGAATATCTGACCTCGCCGTCAGGCATCGAATCCGAAGGACGGCTAAACCTAAAGTTTAGAAGAACATCTGACCTCGCCGTCAGGTATTTGTTAAACAAACAGGCATCGAACCCGAAGGCCGGCTCCATACTGTCATACCCTAAATTTGTCCTACCCTTTTGTAATTATTTTCGCTTTTTTCTCCGTGCCATTTAGACACGTGTCGTCTCGCAATTGGTCGTTTTTTCAAAAATTTATCTTTTGACCAGTCAAAATGTGACATGTGGCCTAAAAGGATTTTTTTGTGTATTTTATTTCTTTTCTTAATTTCATAAATCCTTTTCTTTTTTCTTCCTTTTTTCAAAAAGTATTATTGATAACAATATTTTATGCACTTATATAACTTTTATTTGTAAATATCTTTTTTATTTTTTTTAGCTTGTTTTACATATACATTTATTAATATCTTTTATTTTATATTTATATTTAATATTCATTTTTTTTAAAAAAAATAGTTTAGTTTAGTTTAAATTAATCTATTCATTTGTTAATATTTATTTATTTGTTTTGTTAATATTCATTTATTATTTAATTATGTTAGTTAGTATTTTAATTATTAATTTATATTGTTTGATCTTTGTTTATTATTAATTAACTAACTAAATTGCTGAAAAAAATGTTAATAGAAAGAAGAAGCAAGTTGGAGGGAGAGAGGCCCAATTGGGACGGCCCGTTAGGGTTGGCTTTGGGCATGCTATTAAGAGGAGGGAGGACCGATTGAAAGAGGGAAGAAAAATCAACTGTTCATCCTTCCCAAATAATCAAAAATGGCCGCCGCCCCTAACCCTATCCCTCTTCTCTCCCAGAGCGGCCGCCGAAGCTCCATTTTCTTCTTCAAAATCACTTCACATCCATCAAAATCATCGTCATCTTAATCCCCCAATTTCATTTCAGAGTTTGATCTACGTTTCAGTTTTCGAAGTTAGGGTTTCTACTCTCCGACAGAGACAACCAAGTGGCGAAGCTGATGGCGGAACAACCTCTCCCGTTCGAGGATCATGCAATTCCGGCCGTCGACGACGAAGAAGACTACACTGGTGGCGATGATACTAGGGATGAATTGGAAGAGGAGACGCATGTCGATCCAATGAACGCTTCAGCTAGTGCGAATCACGACGGCGTCGTTTTGCCTATAACCCGTACTGGTGTGCTCACTCTTTCTTTTGAGGGTGAGGTTCACGTCTTTCCCGCTGTCACACCTCAGAAGGTTCAAGTTGTTTTGCTGCTTTTGGGAGGACGTGATACGCAAGCGGGCATGCCTACTGATGAACTTCCATTTGATCAAAGTTATAGGGGCATGAGGGATATTACAAGGCGTCTGAATCTTTCCCGAAGAATAGCCTCCTTAGTCAGGTTCCATTCAAAGCATCAAACAACTCGCAGTGACAACAACGTTGACATCACCAGATCATTATTTGCAAGCTACAACTGAGCTCAACCTTGCCCACCTCGCACGCTCTCGTATATGCCCCAGCTAGGATGCGACATCCTCAGCTCTCACGCAAACTCGATTTAACAGCATCAGGCTTCGAGCGAACAACTCGGTTTGGATTTGCGCTGGTTGCTGTGCTGACGTAGGATATATCACGGTTAAAATGTGCCTCGGCTATGTCTCTGCGATGTCGGTTCTTTTAACTTACGGCTTTGCGTATCAATAGCATAATTGTTGCATCAACACTTTTCGGTCTGCTAACAAGTTGGCATATGCGTTCGTTTCGGTTAGCATCTTTGTGAATATTTGCTACTGTGATAATCTTTTTTAAGTGCACTTTATGAGTCACAAATCAAGATTTTTGACGTGCTGTGGTTATTGGATGTTGTGTTATTATTATTTATTTTTTTTAAATTGTTGCTGTTAGATAGAACTCAGGATAACCATACTGTAACAGCTGAAATCGCGTCTTCCACTTTTTTTTTCTGCTTTCTGTCAGTTTCGAATTCGCAAAGTGTGTTTTCTATTCTATTTTGGGGTGCTGTTGATTTTATGCAGGTTGGGACATTGCCAGAATTTTGGTTATACAACAAGAGCCTGAAATATCATGTACGCATAGGCTCCGCAACTTTCAGTTTCCGACACATGATAGCATCATTTGGAGTGATTCGAGTCCGGCATTTCGTTCGCTAACAGCTCAACTCAGTGCAGACTGCATAAACCGTTTTCGACTTGGGTTGGTTTTGCTTTCATTTACGACTCTATTTCGAATGCATATTCATCGGCTTGGTTCGATATTTTATCATATTGCTGAACATTGAGTTATTGTGTGGTTTGCTGCTGTAGTTGATTTTAGTTTCAGTTTCACGATATGGAGCGTTACTAATTGGATAGAATGATTGATATTGCTATTTGAATGCTTGTCAAAATTAATTTGTAATTATCATATTTTTTGGATGCTGTTTGATTGAATGCTGTTGAAACTTAGTAAGAGTTTTTAATGTGTTGGCACTTGCATTAATGCGTGATGTGCGTATCTTCAGTAAGCGGCGATGCTTCCTTTTTTTTAGCTTTTCGTTTGTTTATTAGTTTGATCTTTGTTTATTTAGTTTCAAAGAGAATCACTTTTCATTCATTAAGATTAATTAATTATTTATTTGATTATTTGGTTTTGTTAAGTAAATATTAATTGATCGATTAGTGGATGCAATTTGAGGTGGACTTATCTCTTAACCCAATAAATCACTTTCAAGTAAAAATCATTTCCATTCTTTCTTTAAAAAAAAAAAGAACATGAGTGAGCATTTTCAAAATATAATTATTTTAATCTTAATATAACTTATCTTTAACACAAACCATTTTTTTCTTTTATTAATAATTTTTCTAATCTTTATTCAACGTATTTTATCACCAAATTATCTCTCGATCAAGTCATAAAAATTAAATTCTTGAAGTCAAGTATTTCTTGGATTTTTGGATGATCATTAGCGAGGTGTACACCTTAAATAATGTATTATTCAACTTTTCGTTTTAAAACACTATTTCGAACAAAGAAATATCATAGGAATCTAGCATTCTGTGTGATATTTTTGTCGTTCCTTCAAACATTCTCCAAATGAAAAAGGTGTCGTCGAGATCTAGCATTTCGATAATGCCCCAATTAATTGGTTGTGAGGCCTACGTCTCATTTATCAAATAATTGTCATTTCTCTCTTTTTTCGAATCCAATCTCGTGTCCTCACATCTCGTACCTCAAATTATTTTCATACCTCGTTCCACTTCAAATCTTTTTCAAACATTTTCTCGATCAAACTTCGAAAGAAGAAGGTTCTTGGAGTCTAGCATTCTTTGAATTTTCGAGTGAATAATTCTCGAGGCACGCCCTTTGAGTTATTATTCATTCAATCTTTCGACCTTTTTAAATATCTTTTTTCGATTCAAACTTCGAAAGAAGGAGGTTCTTGGAGTCTAGCATTCCTTGAATTTTCGAGTGAATAGCTCTCGAGGCACGCCCTTTGGATTGTTATTCACTCAACCTTTCGACTTTTTTAAACTCAAAAACCTTCCGACGTTCTCCTAAGTCGAGTGCTCGTACGCATTCGTAACCCACACTTCACACACATTCACAATTCCTCGTGGTCTCGATATTAGGAGCACCCTCAGGGACTAATATCGTTTCTCACAACCTTAACCCTTGACACGTCGTCAAGCCGGTTCCATCTTCAATCAAATCTTCGACACGTCGTCGAACCAGTTCAAAACAATTTCCTTTTGGCCTCGCATGCCATTCTTCGATTCAATCCTTTCGCAAACTTACGAAAGAGGGATGTTCTTAGAATCTAGCATTCTTTAAATATTCGAACGAGTAACTCTTGGGCGCGCCCCCGAGTTGTTATTAGTTCATTCTTTCGTTTTCAAAATATCCAACTCTTATCTTCAACTCATTCAACCCAATTTCCGAAAGAACTGAGTTCTTGGGATCTCGCATTCCCTGAATTCTTGAATGACAAGCTCTTGAGGCACGCCCTTAGGTTGTACGTCAATCACTCTTTCGTCTCTCAACTCAACTTCAACCCCATTCAAACCTCATCTTTTCGTGGTCGTCTCCACGAACTACGGACGCTCTGATTCTTTATTCATTCTTGAATATAAGATACGTAGGCACAAGATTGCGATGATCTTGGCGAGCACACTTCTATCCATCTCCCATTTCCCCCCATCCTTTCCCGTAGTCGAACTACGACGCTCTGATTTCTCATTCTCGTCCGAATGAGCATACGTAGGCACAAGGGCCCCAATCCTTGGCGAGCACCCTATCTTCTAACCACCCGTCTCTCCTTTGCGTCTTTAACCTTTTACCCTACCAATTCTACCTTATCAACGAGAAAACAAGTAAACCTAAACAACACTCCCCACAATTACCTTAAGAGGTTCCCGTCGAGTACGACGGACGTGAGGGGTGCTAATACCTTCCCCTCACGTAACCGACTCCCGAACCCGGAACTTGGTTGCGACAGCCCTGTTCCTATCCTTTCGTTTTTAAGAGGTTTTCTCGATATTTTCCTCTCCTGTTTATTCGGGAAAAATAAAGTTCGGTGGCGACTCTGTCGAACCGCATTTCCGCGCCTTTCGCGCGAGGGTCGTATTTCCGAAATGTCTCCGTGATTTTTCGAGGTGCGACAGGTGGCGACTCTGCTGGGGACATTTTTGCTCCATGCAAAGAGAGAGTCGAGCCTATCTTTTGGTTTGTGAGGAGTGTTTGTTTTTATTCTGTTTTCTTCTTGTATTTGTTCTCTTGTAGATTTTGTTTATGCTTGTTATCTTGGTTGCCTATCGGTTCTTGGGATGACATCATGAGTAAAGCTCTACACCCGAGCTTTGGTAAAAGCAGAGAGAACACATAGTTTAGAATTGGTAGTCGAGTAGTGTTAGTCTCCGAGGACTCGCTCCTTGTGGGCCTAGCATGAAAGCTCCTCCAAAGGAGACCTATTCGTAGATCTTGTTGTAACACAGCTAGCCTGTCGCACGACTTGATTAATGAAGGGTCCGTGATTCTGGGAACCTTTTGTTAGCACCAGTTCCGATATTGGTGGTCGTGTAGTGTTAGCCTCCAAGGACTCGCTCCTTGTGTGCCTAGCACGAGGACCCCGCTCAGGAGAGACCTTATCGTCATTATCGTCGTAATGCAGCCAGCCTGTTGCGTGACGCTGATACGACTAGTGTCCGTGATCCTGGGAACCAAACGTAGAAACCATCCCGTGAGAGGGTTTATGGGTAGAATGTTTAGACCTTCCCGTATAGGTTGTACCTGTCACTTTTCTTTGAGCAGGAATTATGGTTATTTACCTATTACGGTTACCAGCTTCAGGAGTTGTTGGAGTTGTAATCCTGTGATCCTGGATCTTGTATCTTGCATTGCATCTTGCATATCATTTGCATTTCATATGTTGTGCATTTTTGCATTTCCAGTCCTCCAACAGAATCTTATGTCTCCGTTCCTTCTTCTCCAGTAAATCAAGCTGATTCCTCGACACCAGTACGCAACCAGAGCCAATACCAGACGTATGATGGAGCAGATTCAACAGGAGCAAGTCGCCTTCAGGGAAGAGTTGGATTCCATGAAAGGAAAGATCGACCAGATCCTCGAAGCCATCCTCACAGCCAGGAGAGAGGAAGAACAGCGTGAAGCCGCCGCTGTCGTCAACCACAATGGACAAGGGTCTACTGCCATCCCTTTGGTTCAAATTCCAAGTTCTCATGGGATGCCGCTGAACTTCAACAACGCAGTCGAAGGAAATACTTCTCAGCCAATCCCAGCGCCTGGAGTTACCGTTGGAGCTATCCCGCACGCCCAACCTGCTGCTGTGCAAATCCCGGTTCCTCATGTTGAAGATACTCTGATGGATCAGTATGACGACGTTCAGAACTATCATGCTGCTATTCCCATCGCCAGTCCTGTTGCTGCTCAGGATTCAGAAGCCATGAAGATGTGCCGAGATCTAGCCGAGAAACTCCGCGCCATGGAAGGGCATAACTCAAATTCTTTCAGTGCTTTGGAATTATGCCTGGTGCCTGATGTTGTCATTCCTCCAAAATTCAAGGTGCCCGAATTTTCGAAGTACAAAAGTCTCAGTTGCCCAAACATTCATCTGAAGATGTACTGTCGCAAGATGGCCGCCTATGCCAGAGACGAGAAGCTCATGATCCATTGCTTCCAGGACAGCTTGTCTGGGGCATCACTCGAATGGTATATGCAGCTGGAGCGTAATAGTGTGCGCACTTGGGCCGAGCTAGCTGATGCATTTGTCAAGCAGTACAAGTACAACACCGATCTTGCTCCGAACCGTACTCAGCTTCAGAGTATGACTCAGAAGGACAACGAATCCTTCAAGGAGTACGCGCAACGATGGAGAGAGCTAGCCGCAAGGGTGCATCCACCTCTTGTTGACCGAGAATTGATTGACATCTTCATGGGCACCTTGCAGGGCCAGTACTACGAA